GTAAGAGCATGTACTCAAAGCGCTGGTTCATTCCCCAACATACACATCCATCATAAACTGGACATATATAAAACCGTGTACCGATTCAAAAAGAATTGTGCTTCACTTAACCCAAAGGATAACTAAAACCTTTAATCCCTCATTTCAAAGGGTAAATTGAGGCAACCACAGGATCTAAACTGCCCAAAAATAAATTGGCAGACCTGAGAAGATAAACTCAGAGAGAGGTCTAATATTTACATAGCTGCTAACAAGAACAGTGTAAGTTTTTCCACAAACATACTAGCTGGTTGAGGTCTTGGACAGACTAAACATAGACAGCAGTTGTCACTGTGGGTGTTCTGCCAGCACAAGTGTAAAGTTGTCATCAGAAATGAATATGTGGCATCAAATGGCTTACAGAAATCCAACAAATGTGCATCTTGAACTCTGTATAAGCCAACTCTTCTCAGGACGACCTGGACTTCTTCCTATTAGTACAATGATCAGTTAAAGTCACCCTCTATGAGCAAGAAAGGAAAAATCAAAGTTTATGTTAGTGACAAAAGATGACTGCCCAGAGTCCAAGTTCATGAATAATAATGTGTAAATACCTATATTGAATCAAATAATAACCACATTAATATTCTGCTTTTAAAATCAATATCCATAGCACAGCTTTAGGCCTGATTTCAGGTAAATCAATTGAAAATAAAAAAAGACCAAGAAAAAGAACAAAATGAAAGTTGAACAGTCTCTACCAGGTGAACTTATTAAATGAGTGATTCCAATAAAATATGAAAATTAGGGGGCTGGGATTGTGGCTCAGTGGTAGAGCACTTGCCCAGCATGGGTGAAGCACTGGGTTCAAATCTTGTTACCACATATAAATAAAATAAAGGTCCACTGACAACTAAAAATATTTTTAAAAGATGAAAATTATGCTTGGTTACTAATTTGCCTTAAAAATTAAAAAGAGGTGGGGGTGGGGCGACAGTACTGGCTCAGCACGCAAGAGGTTCTGGTGGGTTTAAATCCCCAAAACCAAAAATAAACACCCACTAGTCTTCCTCAGAAACTTTGCATCCTGAATCACAAACCATTCTCTTTTCTAAAGTATTATTAAAGGCTCTGAAAATCTACAAAATTTTCTTAGACATTTAAAGAAAATATCTGGTCACTTCAGACTTATCTGCTCTTTCTCTCTCTCTCCCAATTACCATCCTGCTTACCTAAGACTCTGATATAGCTGGACATGGGTAGTAGCACAAACATGTAATCCTAGCAACTCTGGAGACTAAGACAGGAGGATGGCAAATTCCGTACCACCTATAAGGAAGTCTTCTACTTTTTTTTATACAGACCAGTGAAGATGTGTTATTTTCTCTTTTAATAAATAATCCTTTTAGGTTTAGATGCATTAGTAGCCCTCCAAACTTGAAGTGCAAGTGCTTTAACTTTTGTTAATGGAGGCCCAACACTTTGTATTACTTTGGGATGGTTTTAACAACCCTACCAGATTTTCCACGGCAAAGGATAAGTCTAGTTAGGATTTTTCATGTGATAGTCTTGAGAATTTCAATGAAAATTATCTATTAAAATACCCCCACCACAGAGAAATATTCATCAAACCTACAATCCCATTAGAATACACTTCATAATAAAACAAGCAATTTTTACTTGCACAACAACTAGAAATGCTCAATTTCACAAAGCTAAAATCTTTCAAGGTAAAATACACGTAAAAACACCATTTAAAGGACCACCAATGAATCTGCTTATAAATTCAGGTAGCTGAAACTAGAGATGAAATGAATTCACTCAGAATAATCTAAGGTGCTATGATCTGGTTGCCCATTCCTCTGAGCAGAGCTCTCCCCACACCCCTCCCAAAAAAACTGTGGGTTTATAACAGTTGTGAAATCAGTTCAATGGAAATTGACCTGGTTTTTTAAAAAATGAAATACATTGTAGATGAGAAAGTGCTACTGTTCTTTGCACTTTTGTCTGGTGAAACATGTTTCAATATGTATACAGGACCAGTATAAAATCTATTTCTCACTAAATCAAGGTCAAAGGAGAATTTGAGACTCTGGCCCAAAAGAATTCCAGGAATGTCCAAATCACTTAAATCAGGTAAAATGTAGTGCTCCCTTACCAAAGGTCACTCCCTCAACACCTCACCCATCATCTCCATCTTTCCTAATTTGCAACTGGAAAAATATTTTGAAAATATATTTTCAAAATATAAATATAAACTCTGACATTGGTCATTTTAGACCATGATTAGATTTTTCTTTATTGTTCTTTCTTGGTATTCCTTTCAAACCTAAATACATCAACGATAAATATCCTTAACCCATTATCACTTTAGTTCTTAGAAGCTCAGCAACTGCATCCTTAATATAACCTATAAATAGGTGTATAACTGATAATGTTATCCCTTTGCAAGCACCAGTTAACATGGAAATCACTCCTCTGTTCATTATAAGCTGCACTGGAATTATGTTTTTTGTACAAAACTGTAAAGGTCTCAGGGTTGTGGCTCAGTGGTAGAGTGCTCTTCTAGCACACGTGGGGCATTGGGTTCAAACCTCAGCACCACATAAAAATGAAATAAGGATATTGTGTCCACCTACAACTAAAAAATAAATATTTTTAAAAAATTTTATAAAAATAAAATAAATATTTTTAAAAATATTTTTTAAAACCCCCAAAGGTCTCTAATCCTAAATTTATTTCATATATAGTTGATTTTATCGGCCATTTAAATATTTTCCCTTTTGACTCTACATTAACCAGTGAACAATGAAGTATTAAAATTGACACAGCCAGAGTAGATACCTCAGGCCTACAATCAGAATACTTGCAAGTTAGAGGCCAGTCTCAACAATTTAGCAGAGACCCTCAGCGACTCAGCAAGATCTCTTTCTTTACTCATTAAAATTATTTATTTATTCTAACTTATTATACATGATGATGATAATCTGCAAGATCTTATTTCAAAATAAAAAATAAAAAGGACTGGGAACATAGCTTAGTAGTAAACTGCCTCTGGCTGAGTTCAATACCCAGTACCAAATAATAATAATAATAATAATAAAATTTAAAAAGCCCTAGAATAAACACAGTGGGCATTACCAACAGAAGAAGAAAATCTAACCAAAAGGCAATGAATGGTGATCCAGGTGATGGGTGGTTCTTCCCTCCCGATACCCTCCTTAAGCAACTTCTTTTTCACCCCAAACCAGACATCCTCAAAGAGCAGGAAAGAGGGGCTTGGGGAATCTTTAATGGTGTAAACAAAGATACATTTATGTAAGGAAAGTTCCTCAGCGGAAGAGACCAAAGAGAAAAGCACCCAGAACATACATAATTAAAGAGAAAGGAGGTAATGAGAAATACGTGATGACTGGAAACAAAAAAAATTTTTTTATTTAATTTTAATGACAAATTATCATTTTTTATTCAATTTTATAACAAATTTTCTCTGAAAAGATTTAAACATTAGAAATCCCATCTGCCTCGATCCCATTGTGTCATATCCAAATATGTAGTCTTTCAAAACTCTCTCTGGACCTACGGACCTATTTGTGGAAATATGATTATGATATAGATTTTTCTTTATCTTCCATAAAGATACGTGAAGATTTATCCTATTTGTTCTACCATCTTAACGGTCTTCTAAACAAGCAAATAAGTCAAGTCTAAAACTCCTCGTTTTCCCTAAAACTAAAGTGGTAGATATATGATGTCCAGAGGTGGGGAAAACATTTTCCCCAAAAGGTGTGTGGGATGGAAACATAAAGATTTCAGTAGGTTAGTTATTATGGATAAAATGTTCATTCCCACGCACCATCACAGGTATTGAAAGTAACAACTCCTAGTCTAAGATAACTCCCTCTTTTGGAGTACCCGTTCACCTACTGGCTCCAGACTCGGTCTATCCATTTAACTGCCCAACTCCCGCGCTCCCCATTGGAGTCAAATCGCTGCCTCTTGGAGAAGGCCATCCTACCGCGCGCTTCGTGCTCATTGGCTCAGTAAGACGCTGCTCAGGAGGGAAAAACCCGCCTCCCACATTCCGATGGCCCAAGCGCCGGTCATTCGGCAGCTCAAGGCAGACCCAATGGGCCTATACACTTGCCAGTCAAATTCTTCGGCTGCAAAGCCCCAAAGAACCTGCAAGGATAAAATATCCCGCCCCCTGTTCTTCTATTGGTTGGCCCGATGCATCGCTGCCCTTTCACTATCCCCCCCACCCCGCGATCCATTCATTTCACACAATAACGGGCCCAAATGGAGCCGGTTCAAGACCTCGTATGCGTAGACAAGACTCTCTTCCACTTACCCGGGATCGAGAGTGATCACTCACACTAACGTCTGCCCTGTTCCTCTGTGGTGGGGCCGAACCACAAGTCACCGCTGCCGCCGCCTTCTGCGCAACGCCAACCGCCCGCCAAAACGGATCCTTCCCTGCGCCTGCGCAACCAATCCTGGAACCGGACCCTTTCTCCGCCCATAACGCCTGCGCAAAAGAGGACACAACTCCCGCCAATACGCAGGCGCCATAGGTTCACCGCCCACTCCCGCCCGCCATTTCACATGTTCCAGCGGCAGGCGGAACTTCATAATACGCCTGCGTAAACTCGCCATTTTACTACACATGCGCTCTGTAAGTAATGACTGCAAAAAGAAGTTTTTACAAGCTACTTATCTAATTTATAGTATTAGTTATGCTTTGCCAGGCGAGGTGAATGTATTATATGGGTGTGGAAGACGAAAAAGGCGTTTACATACCTTGGGTATATTCAAATATGAATGATTGGCGGGCTAGCCAATCAGACTGGTTAAGAGTAACGTAGCTCAGGCACCAATGACTCAAGGGGGCGGGGCTTGCGTAGAACGCCCAAACGGATGACGTTACACAGCAGTACGGAACCATAGACCAATAGAAGGAGGAAGTTATTTCAGACAGCCAATCGGAGCTTTGGAGGGGCGGAGTCTGCCAATGCCAAAAGCGAGGAGGCGGGATAAAAAGGCGAGGCTGAAGGTAGGCTGGTGGATACGTTCGTTAGCTTACTCCTTTCTGCCCGTGGACGCCGCCGAGAAAGCATCGTTAAAGTCTGTCTTCTTGCTGCCGTCATGTCTAAATCAGAGGTGAGTTAGACGCTTTTCGAAAGTTGAGTTTTTTTTCTCGCCCATTCTGAGTTGGGTGAGATGCTACGTGGTTTCGCGGCTTGCACTAGCGCTTTCAGCAGATCCTTCGGTCGCTGCCAGGGCCTACTCCTCCCAAAGTTGAGGTCGCCATTTTGTTGTCCTCGTCGTCGCCATGAGGCCGCCGTCCGCTAATTATTAGTTATCACGCCGGACTTGTTACTAATGTCAAAACTCGTAGACGCATACGGGCACTTTTTGCTTTGTCGCATGGGCGATATTCGTAGAGCTATTAGTATCTTACTGACGATGCACCCCTTCGCACAGTCCTTTTGTTGCGCGTGCGTCCGGAGTAGGGGCGCATGCGCTTGGTGCTATCCAGCCCTCACTCACTACCACCCTCAGTGATGGGGAGAAGCACGTGGTTTGTTGGGGTTTCAACGAACAATAAGTTATACGCACGTTGGTGTCTGGTTTTGTTTGTCCTAAACGGAAGTGTCCGTGTTATAGCCCCACTTAAACGCGTTTTCCCCACACTCTAGTCCCCTAAAGAGCCCGAACAGCTGCGGAAGCTATTCATCGGAGGGCTGAGCTTTGAAACAACTGATGAGAGTCTGAGAAGCCATTTTGAGCAATGGGGAACACTCACGGATTGTGTGGTAAGACTTGGAAGGGACAAAAGGCAGTAGAATTAGTTGATTTCCTAGGCTTTTCCTGATACTAATCTTGTCTGAATGCTTTGTGAAGGTGGTTAATAGAGGTAATAATTAGAAATAACGTGGCAAAGGGACTGCCTTTGTTCTTTAGTGTACAAAGCTATCTCAAATCTATAGTAGTGGGAAACTGAATGGCTTCGTATACAGGATTGGTGTAAAGTTTCTTCTTGGCCTTAAAATAGAAATGACATTACTTTGTAGAGTTGGGCTGTGTATTAAATGAATTAACACTGTTCACAGGTAATGAGAGATCCAAACACCAAGCGCTCCAGAGGCTTTGGGTTTGTCACTTATGCCACTGTGGAGGAAGTGGATGCAGCCATGAATGCAAGACCACACAAAGTGGATGGTAGAGTTGTGGAACCAAAGAGAGCTGTCTCACGAGAAGTGAGTGATTTTTCCCCTCCCCCAGTATTCATTTGAAGGTGTTGCTTCTGATGAGATTTGGGAGTCTTCTAAGCTTTTTAAAATTCTGATTTTGGGAATAGATCTTGTTTATGTAAAGTAACTTAATTTCCTCCTGATAGGATTCTCAAAGACCAGGGGCCCACTTAACTGTGAAAAAGATCTTTGTTGGTGGCATTAAAGAAGACACTGAAGAACATCACCTACGAGATTATTTTGAACAGTATGGGAAAATTGAAGTTATTGAAATCATGACTGACCGAGGCAGTGGAAAGAAAAGGGGCTTTGCTTTTGTAACTTTTGATGACCATGACTCTGTGGATAAGATTGTCAGTAAGTAACACATTGCTGACATTTACTAAGGCTTTTAAGATCCACTTGAAGTCTCCATCTAAGACCAGAATTTTATCTTTAAAATTTTTTTAGTTCAGAAATACCATACTGTGAATGGCCACAACTGTGAAGTGAGGAAAGCCCTATCAAAGCAAGAGATGGCTAGTGCCTCATCTAGCCAAAGAGGTACATTTATTATTACTTGATTACAATGTAAAGGTAATTCTGAGTTACTGTGAGCCAATATGTGGTTTAACACTTAAACTTTTTTTTTCTATTAAGGTCGAAGTGGTTCTGGAAACTTCGGTGGTGGTCGTGGAGGTGGTTTTGGTGGAAATGACAATTTTGGTCGTGGAGGAAACTTCAGTGGTCGTGGTATGTGTTATCTAAGGCTTAGTGAAAATTGATAGTGACCATATAATTCTATTGCTCTACATCACATCCTTTTTACAACCCACAGTAGTTACAACTGGCCTACACTTCCAAAGTTACATTTTTATCTAATCATGGTTCTGGCTTGACTCTAACCAAAAGTTAATCTTCAGTGTGCAATTAACATACTATACACCTTGTATATAAAATCTTTATTTCAGGTGGCTTTGGTGGCAGTCGTGGTGGTGGTGGATATGGTGGCAGCGGGGATGGCTACAATGGATTTGGTAATGATGGTAAGTTTTTAGAGAAATGTGTAAGTAAAAATTTCTGGCAACCTATACCTTTAGAATAGGATGGTAGAAACTAAAACTCCTAGTGCATGACGAACTCAACTTGGCCCATAATTTGCATGCTGTAAAGGAGGCCCTTAGCTATTAAATTTGCACCGGTTTTTATTGTTGAATACTTTTGTCTTATTGAGAAGAATTGTATTCTTGTAGGTGGTTATGGAGGAGGAGGCGGCCCTGGTTACTCTGGAGGAAGCAGAGGCTATGGAAGTGGTGGACAGGGTTATGGAAACCAGGGCAGTGGCTATGGCGGGAGTGGCAGCTATGACAGCTATAACAACGGAGGAGGCGGAGGCGGCTTTGGCGGTGGTAGTGGTAGGTATCCAGTGATCCAAGTACTTGGTGTGATAGCTAGATTAGCCTTTTAGAGTTTCTGCCTGTATTGGAATTTGGAGCTTTTAAAGCATTGTGTGGTACACTGCATGGTACATTTAAAACAAGCTTGCTGTGCTACCTCCTCCTGGCTTTAAGCTGGGGCCGCCTCACTCCCTTATAAGTAGATGGGTATGTGTTTAGGGGTGTCTTAAATTTGAGTTAGGTAAGCAGTACCATGGCAGGACACTTAGTTTTGAATCAACTTCGGGACCTTAGGTACTCAGGTGATTTAGCTTGTATTTGCACTGGCCTTGGATGTGGAAGAAAGGCCTTAAGGCTAGAGAGTGCTTGCAAATGCCACTAGGGGAAAACTGTTGAGTTGAATGATGTGTTTTGAATACCTTACCCAGAGATAAAATATAAGGATTTGGAGCCAACAGTTTGGGAGGAAGGCAGGCAGCAAATATATAACCTCTTTTTTTATTCTGAACACTAAGCAGAATTGGGCACTATCAGTCATCTTCCCCAAGTAATAGACAAGTCCCTCTTTCCATTCCTAGGAAGCAATTTTGGAGGTGGTGGAAGCTACAATGATTTTGGCAGTTACAACAATCAGTCATCAAATTTTGGACCCATGAAGGGTGGAAACTTTGGAGGCAGAAGCTCTGGACCTTACGGTGGTGGAGGCCAATATTTTGCCAAACCACGAAACCAAGGTATTATTATATATTTGTAATATTGATTGATATCATTGGACTACCAGTTTTTAAGGTAGTATATATGTAAATAATGAAAAGCTGATAATTTTAACAATTGTAAGTAATTTGCAATCAAATTTGAAAACTCAACATGACCTCCTCACACATTAAAGTGAAGGTCACTTTAATGGCCATTCCTTCTTTGAACGTGTCATTGCCTCAAATCTGCACATTTCCTAAATATAAATGAAAAAAATTTCTTTTAGGTGGCTATGGTGGTTCCAGCAGCAGCAGTAGCTATGGCAGTGGCAGAAGGTTTTAATACTGCCAGGTAAGTAAGTACCCTTTTTTATTTTTTTTTACGTGTTGACTTAATTTTTATAATTGCTGATGAACCCAATAACCCTAATATAGCTGAGCAGTGCAACATAGTTAACATTATAATTGCAGTAAATTGTGGATGTTAAGTTAATATTCAGATTAGCAAAATTTGTGGGAAACAACTTTGCTATTGGATTATAGCCTTGAGTCTTAATATGTTTAGATTAACAACTTTATTCCATATTGTTCAACAGGAAACAAAGCTTAGCAGGAGAGGAGAGCCAGAGAAGTGACAGGGAAGCTACAGGTTACAACAGATTTGTGAACTCAGCCAAGCACAGTGGTGGCAGGGCCTAGCTGCTACAAAGAAGACATGGTTTAGACAATACTCATGTGTATGGGCAAAAAAACTCGAGGACTGTATTTGTGACTAATTGTATAACAGGTTATTTTAGTTTCTGTTCTGTGGAAAGTGTAAAGCATTCCAACAAAGGGTTT